TCAGAGTATGTCATGGGTGTAGTGAAGAACCCATGGTGTAGTGAGGGTCGTGGGTGTAGTGGGAACCCATGGTGTGGGGGTAGTGGGTGTAGTGAGGCCATGGTGTGAGGGGTAGTGGTGTAGTGAGGAACCCATGGTGTGGGGTAGTGGGTGTAGTGAGGAACCCATGGTGTGAGGGGGTCGTGGGTGTAGTGAGGAACCCATGGGACACTCACTTTGAGACAGTAACATTATATCAACGATTAAAAAAATAATAATTCAGAAAAATTTAAAAAAATCTTTATTTATGGTATTTTGTCACTGAAAAAAATCCTGAATACATTTAAAGTAGAAGAAAAAATCCCTGGATAAACTTATTTTAGGAATAAATTCTCGGTTATCCAAACAACAATAACAAGAACAAAACAAAAATGGCCGACACCTGAGAATGTTATTTTATTTTCGCCACCACCAAAATTTTCATCTTTGACCCCCTGTAAAATCCCACGATATGCAAATACTCCAAATTTGTCGGCAGCAAACTGTGAGACCTGCCAAAAGTTATCTTTATGCAAACTCTTATTAAAATTCGTTGAAAAAATAAAGGAACGGGAAAAAAATATTAAAATACTTGAACCTTTTGTGATATTTTGGGAAGAGAAATCTGTAGACTGGCTCAAGTTTGTAGCACCTGTGAACGACACTTGGGATATTATTGTTTTTCAGGGCCAGGTCAACCCAACCCAACCTAACCTAACCTAACTTCTTAACCTAACCTAACCACATACAAGTGAACTAATTTTCTGTCGTTAGGTCTTGCCCCCATCTGCCTCGTAATCGATTTTTTGGTCTGTTAGTTGGTCTGTTAGTTGGTCTGTTAGTTGGTCTGTTAGTTAGTCTGTTAATTGGTCTGTTAGTTGGTCTGTTAGTTGGTCTGTTAGTTGGTCTGTTAGTTGGTCTGTTAGTTGGTCTGTTAGTTGGTCTGTTAGTTAGTCTGTTAGTTAGTCTGTTAGTCGGTCTGTTAGTTGGTCTCAATATTTTATACCTTTTCATATTTGTATTTATTTGATTTTTTACGAGGATTTTTTTTAGAGGTATTAATTCAGGCTGTCGAAATTGGCCGCTTGTTACAGGTGAAAAGAGTTCCCTGTTCTGTGGTAAAAGTCAATGACAGACAGACAGACAGACAGACGAACCAGACGAACAGATAGACAGACAGACAGACAGACGGACAGGGTAAATAAGAGTCTAGATACATAAATACATTTAGAGAGTTACTAAATAAGACAGATGTGGACAGATAGATAGAAAGACAAATAGACAGAAATAAAAAACATACAAATGAATATAGATGAAAATATAGACAGACAGACAGACAGATAAACACACACACACACACACACACACACACACACACACACACACACACACACACACACACACACATCCTTGACCACCGAAGGGTCAAGACGTACCTAGCGCTCCTCTCAAGCCAGGTCCAACAATATGTTGGCCCATACCAACTCCCTCCCTGAACCCTCCCCCCACCGGAATATCAACAAGTTCACGCCGAAGTTACTATTTCATTTAGGAAAGAAATGGAACCAGTGTTAAACAGAGGTGAACAGTGGTGAACAGTGTTTAAGTCAGTAGAACAACTCAGCAGTAACAGTGGTACCCAAGTTGACCTCACAGTGAGGTCCAGGTACCCAGTGATAACGGCCCGTGAGACCCACCTACCAGCGATGTGTTAATCCGTCTCTACGATAGGAAGGCCTGGAACCACACCTCACTCATATAACACCATCTGTGAGGATTTACTACCATTAGGGCCTCAACACCATATGTGAAGGAACCCACCCGTGAGGCCCCTCATGCACCATCTGTGAGGAATTACTACACCACGTGAGGCCCCTCATAACACCATCTGTGGAATTACTACACCGTGAGGCCCCTCATAACACCATCTGTGAAATTACTACACCACGTGAGGCCCTCATAACCCCATCTGTGGGGAATTACTACACCACGTGAGGCCCCTCCTGCTTACCATCTGAGGAATTACTACACCACGTGAGCCCCTCATAACACCATCTGTGAGGAATTACTCACACCACGTGAGGGCCCTCATAACACCATCTGTGAGAATTACTACACCACGTAGGCCCTCCATAACACCATCTGTGAATTACTACACCACGTGAGGCCCCTCATAACACCATCTGTGAGGAACTACTACGTGAGGTCCTCCTAACACCATCTGGGAGGAGTTACTACACTACGTTTTTGCTTTTCAACACCTACATTAATCTGTATGTTCACTGTATGTTCCTTTACCTTTCTCTAATGAAAGCTTTTGTTAAACCACCAATGTATGTAATAAGTCATTTATGCCCAATGTATATTTTCAGCCTTCGGGCTTATAACTTTTTCAATAAACCGTTAATTATTATTATTATTATTACACACACACACACACACACACACACAACTAAAACAATGAAAGTAATATATAAATAAACGCCTAGACTTCTTACACTAAGTGACGTTCGAGTTTATTTATTGAGAAGAGGAAGAGGAAGAGGAAGAGGGAGGAGGAGGAGGAAGAAGAAGAAGAAGGAATAACGAAGACAGAAGAAGAAGAAAGAAGAAAGAAGAAAAGAAGAAGAAGAAGAAGAAGAAAGAAGAAGAAAGAAGAAGGAAGAAGAAGAAGAATAACAAAGACAGAAGAAGAAAGAAGAAGAAGAAGAAAGAAAGAAGAAGAAGAAAGAAAGAAGAAGAAAGAAGAAGGAAGAAGAAGAAGGAATAACGAAGACAGAAGAAGAAAGAAGACGAAAACAACACTGCCATCTGGTGGGAGGAGACACCATGGTATAAACACTTGAGACAGCAATACTCACAGCCAGAACAGCAAGACGCGATAAGTGTGTGTGTGTGTGTGTGCGTGTTAGGACCAAAGAAACACTCGTGGGGTATTTTGTCCAATGCCATTCTATCTAGAAGTCGATTTTGTCCGGACCAGCAACAGAACACAAACCCAACCAACATACATACATAGTGTTGGTTGGGGGATTGAGGAAGGAGCCGTCCGAGGTTACCCCAGCTGGCTCTGTTTACATCATCAGCTGTGTCCGTCAATCCCCCCCCTCCTCCCCCCTGCCAGTCTCATCTCGCAGCCAATAAGGACGGTAATCCCACCCGCCAGCCTCGACACTCTCATCTTTATCCCACACCAACACGGACTCAGGAGGATCACCATGTTCCTTCCCATCCGCCACTGACTCATTACAACACACGGGTTCTTTTTCATCCACCCCTTACGCCTGGATAAGACATGTACGTTATATAACTCAATTTTCAAAACTCTCCTTTATTCTTACGTCTTCTTAAAGCACAGTTTTATGTAGCTTTTATTAAGGTATAAACCCTGAGAGAAGGCTGGGCCAAGTTTTCATATCGGAATCGCGTTGTATCTGATGGTCTTTCTCATCCTGTACAGTTTTCTATTTTGGGTCACAGTTTTGGAGAATTTTTCAATCGTGTTTTTTTTAAACTTTCGTCGTTGTTGTTATAATGACTTGGTATGTTTGAATAATTAAAGTCTTTAAGCACGTGTTATGAGTTATTAAGTATGCTAGTCATTAACAATTAAAAACTACAGTAATTATGTTGTTAGACGTTATATGGTTATTAATACGCTTCAATAACTAAGGTCTGTAGCACGCAACGAGGGTAATAAGACAACTACCTCATCTATAATAAGGTTAGGTTAGGAAGACATGTGGCCCTCAGGGATTATTTTATATTCACGAAACAACAGTAGATGCCTGGTACTCTTTGGGGGCAGGATATATCACCATCTACCCCAAGAGCATGATATATCAGTATGTACCTCAAGAGCAGGATATATCTCACCATCATGAGAGAGAATCTTGTTTGTGTGCAGTGACAGGTCTCGGGTCGTGATCTCACTCAATACAACACTATTCACCATAAAAAAACCATGATTGCAGGTGTGGATTAGCCTTCAGGTATAGTATAAGCATAAGTTTTTTCTTAATGTGTTGTTATTCAGGTTTGTTTTTGAGTTGCAGTGTTGTACATGTGTTTCGCCCACTCATTAGAACATCCTCCCTCTCAAAAGCCCTCTCACCACCAGACTACAACACACTCCTTTCACCTCTCACCAGACCACAACATACTCCTCCCACCTCTCACCACCCCAAACTCCTTCTGACATTCGAGTCTTAACACTGTCTTCCCCCCAAACACCACCAACAGTACACTGCATTAATTACTCTCCCTAAAGTTTCAGTCCTTCTCCCCCACCTCTTTATCCATCAACCCTCTTCCTCCCCACTCTCTGTTCCTCCCCCCACACACACCTCCCTTCCTCCCCCATCAACCCTCTTCCTCCCCCACACTATCTGTTCCTCCCCCACACCTCTCCTTCCTCCCCCATCAACCCTCTTCCCCCCCTACAAACCTCTCTTCCTTCCCCCACACGTCTTCCCCCCCCACACACGTCAACCCTTCCCCACCCACAAATTCCCTTCCCCCCACACACACTCCCCTAAGGTATAAACTTCACGACAAGTTTTCTCTGAGTCCACGAAACATCTGAGACCGCCACCTGCACTTCCTCACCTTCGGGAAAAACGTTCAAGAACATCACCTGCATCTTCCGCCTCCTCCCTTCTTCTTCTTCTTCTTCCATTACCCCCAACAAGAGCTTCCAAGACACGTCCCAAAACACCATCCAACTTTAATCGTCTTCTGGAAATGTTCGGAGATTACTATTTGGGTTAACGTGCACCCCCTTCCCCATTCCCCCAGAAATAAACAAGATTTCCTCCAACGTCCAAGAAAACATTGTCTTTACCGTTCTCACTTCCCCACTTTAAAAACGTTCTCGATCACTACCTGTATCTCCGAGGTTTCTCCAAGGCTTCCAAGAAAGGTCCAAGAAAACGCTACCAAATTTGAAGCCTTCTCCTAAGAGAGTCTCCAATAATACTAACCGCATTTCCTCATTACCCAAGAGACCACAAGATTACAATCAACATCTCCAGAGAGGTTCCTGCAGACGGATATTCCAGTAATCCTTAAGGTTCCTGTAGTCCAAGGAACTCCCACAACCCTGAGGAATCCTACATCCTTAAAGGCTATCACACTCATAGGACACACTGGTAACCCTGCGGTGCCCCTTCCTAGAATCTAAACGGGTGATGTTAAATCCTTAACCCCGAGGTTATCACAACCCCAAAGGCCCCACAACTCACTATGACTTTAACAACCACTTAACCCTGAGGAATCACACAGCCCTAATGGCATCTGAAGCCCCCTGAAACACCAAGGGCTCCAAGCAACCATAAGGACTAATAATCCTCCGAGCTCCTGAAGGCGACATGACTCTCAGGCTCTACAACTCTGAAGCGCCATAATGACCCTGCGACCCGGGGCCTCGTGGCTCTAGGGGTCGCCTGTGACTCTTCAGCATCGCGGGGCCGCCCAGAAAGGAACCGACACTCGTGGGCGAGATGACAAGATAACAGCCACTCTATATCTTAATTATAATGCATCTCACGAGGGGAATCCTGCTTGGCTGGGTCCATGGCTGGCTGCTTGGCTGGCTGCTTGGCTGGCTGCTTGTCTGGGTCCATGGCTGGTTGCTTGGCTGGCTGCTTGGCTGGCTGCTTGGCTGGCTGCTTGGCTGGCTGCTTGGCTGTGTCCATGGCTGGCTGCTTGGTTGGCTGCTTGGCTGTGTCCATGACTGGCTGACTGACTGGCTGTGGCTGGGTCCATGGCTGGCTGCTTGGCTGGCTCCATGACTGGCTGACTGACTGGTTGGCTGGCTGGCTGGAGTCTTGGTTTTGGCTAGATGACTGGCTTGATGGCTGTACGTGGCTGGTTGGTTGCCTGCTTGCCTGTTCACGCTCGCGCGCGGTGTGTGTGTGTGTGTGTGTGTGTGTGTGTGTGTGTGTGTGTGTGTGTGTGTCTGTGTCTGTGTGTGTGTGTGTCTGTGTGTGTGTGTGTCTGTGTGTGTGTGTGTGTGTGTGTGTGTGTGCGACATCACATCCACTATCGCCGTGCAGATGACAAGTGAACTACGTGTTATCTGAGGCCGCAATGACTCACAAGAGGTGTGTGTGTATGTTTATACATCTAAATACACACAGACACTCACACACTAACAACGAAGCAGGCGGATCATGGTCCACACACACACACACACACACACACACACACACACACAGGCAGTAGTGATCCCTGGAGCAGACTGCGTGAAAGAAGAGAAGAAGGAGAATAGGAGAGGGAGGAAGACTAGAAACGGGAGGAGGAAGATAATGAGAGAGAGAGAGAGAGAGAGAGAGAGAGAGAGATAGAGAGAGAGAGAGAGAGAGGAGTGTTGTTGTGCAGAAGAGGGATAAATGAACACGACCCAACCAAGGTTCTTCCTTCTCCTCTCTTTCCTGTTCTTCTTCTTCCTTCTCTTCAGCTTCCTCTTCCCTCTCCTCTTCCCCTTCTTTCAGCTCTGCTTCCTCTTCCTTCTCTTCTTCCTCCTCCTTCTCTTACTTCTTCTTCTTCTCCTTCCTCTTTCTTCTTTTCTTGTACCCTCCTCCTCCTTCTTCTTCTTCTTCTTCTTCTTCTTCTTCTTCTTATCTCTCTCTTCTTCTGCCATTTCGTCTTCCCTCCTAAGCACTAACCTTACCCTCATAACCAAAACAACAACAACAACAACTACAACTACAATATAACAACAACACCACCACCACCAACAACCTTAACAACAACAACAACAACAACAACTACAATAACAACAACAACTACAAAAACAACAACACCACCAACAACAACTACAATAATAACCACAGCAGCAGGGCAGGTGTTAAGATAAAAGGGTGATTGGGTTAGGTGGGTGGGGAGTGGAGTGGGTGGGTGGGGGTGGGTTAGTAGGTGGGGAGTCAGTTAGGTGGGTGGGAAGATCAGGTGATATCGTAAAAGGGAAGTAATGCTCTCACTATAATAAAACACTATATCATCACCATCTAATGCCACGCCCACCACCTGCTGTACTGCCGCCCACCACCTGCTGTACTGCCACGCCCACCACCTACTGTACTGCCACCCACACCACCTGCTGTACTACCACGCCCACCACCTGCTGTACTGCCACGCCCACCACCTGCTACTGCCACGCCCACCGCCTACTGTACTGCACACCCACCACCTGCTGCTGCCACGCCCACCGCCTGCTGTACCACGCCCACCACTTGCTGTACTGCCACGCCCACCACCTGCTGTACCGCCCCACCACCTGCTGTACTGCCACGCCCACCACCTGCTGCTGCCACGCCCACCACCTACTGTACTGCCACGCCCACCACCTACTGTACTGCCACCCACCACCCTGCTGCCACGCCCACCACCTACTGTACTGCCACGCCCACCACCTGCTGTACTGCCACGCCCACCACCTGCTGTACTGCCGCCCACCACCTACTGTATGCACCACCTGCTGTACTGCCACGCCCACCACCTGCTGTACTGCCACGCCCACCTGCTGTACTGCCACGCCCACCACCTGCTGTACTGCCACGCCCACCACCTGCTGTACTGCCACGCCCACCTGCTGTACTGCCACCCACACCTGCTGTGCCATCCCCTGTGTGAGGTGGGAGGAGGGTGGGGGAGGTGGGGAGGGAGGGTAATGCAATGGTTGGTGAAATGATGATGATGATGAGGAGGAGGAGGAGAATAATAGAAAGGAAGGGAAGAGGTAGAGGTAGAGGATAAGGAAGAGGAGGAGGCTGAGGAAAAAACAAAGAGGAGAGAGAGAGAATCTTTACCTTAATCCTAAAACAAAAACATAAAAACAACTTACACACACACACACACACACACACACACACACACACACACACACACACACACACACACACACACACACACCTCTCTTTAAAACTATATTCCCAGCAGTCATTACCCACAACACTCGACGGAACACGATAGTTTACAGACAGTTAAGTGTGGCAGAACTCTAGGGCCCTCCACCCATGCATGTCAAGTACGCACTAAACGCTACTTAACACCTTCGTCTTCTCCGACAGTTCGCGAGACGAATCTGGATTAATCATCTCCAGTGTGTTGACGTTTTTGTAAGATGTGGGTTTCTTCTTCTTCTCTTTACCTTTGTATTTTTCGATTTTTTTCTCGTTTTTTATGTTTATTCTGATTTGGTGTTTGTTTTAAATCTATCTATCTATCTATCTATCTATCTATCGTAGACGTTACTAATGACTCTCTGTGTGTATAGGGCGTTACTAATGACTCTCTGTGTGTATAGGAGACGTTACTAATGACTCTCTGTGTGTACAGGAGACGTTACTAATGACTCTGTGTGTATAGGAGCCGTTACTAATGACTCTCTGTGTGTATAGGAGACGTTACTAATGACTCTCTGTGTGTATAGGAGACGTTACTAATGTATATATGTGACCCAAAACTCATTATACCTCACCTGCAAACCATTAAGGTGACACATAGGTACAGAACTAATCACACCAGAGTACAGGTAAACAAACTATAAATATCATTACCACTACTTCCAGGTCCTCTACCCCCCACGTACCCTATCTCCCCCCCCTCAACACCCTATCTCCCCTCACGTACCCTATCTTCCCCTCACGCACCCTATCTCCCTCACGTACCTATCTCCCCCCCTCACACCCTATCTCCGCTCACGTACCCTATCTTCCCCCCCACGTACCTTATCTCCCCCTCACGTACCCTATCTCCCCCCCCTCACGCACCCTATCTCCCCCTCACGTCCCTATCTCCCCCTCCATGCCCTATCTCCCCCTCACGTACCCTATCTCCCCCTCCCACGTACCCTATCTCCTCTCGTACCCCTAACTCCCCACGTACCCTAACTCCCCCGTACCCTATCTCCCCCTCCCATACCCTATCTCCCCCCTCACATCCCTAATCTTCCCCTCACCCTCCCCTCCGTACCCTCTCCCCTCCACGTACCCTATCTCCCCCTCACATGCTATCTCCCCCACCCCTCCATGCCTCATCTCCCCCTCCGACCTCATGTCTTTCTCCTTAACCTCCTCTCCCCCTCTCTTCTCCCTCTCTCTCCCCCTCCCTAGCAAGACGCAAACACTGGTGAAGCAAGTAAACAAGAGGGACAGGGGGGAGGAGGAGAAGAGGAGGAGGAGGAAGGAGGAGAGGAGGGGGTGGACTATCCCCATCCTCCCCTGCCCTCCCTACGCCTGCCCTCCTCCCCTGCCCTCCTCCCCTGCCCCTCCCACCTAAAACAGAAGGTGGAGGAGGTGTAGTGAAACTAGACAAACACATAACTCCTTCCTGTCACACACACACACACACACACACTCACACTCACACACACACACACACACACCACACACACACACACACACACACACACACACACACACACACACACACACACACACACACACACACCACACACACACACACCACACACCCCCACACACACACACACACACACCCCCCACACACACACACACACACCACACACACACACACACACACACACACACACACACACACACACACACACACACACACTCACACTCACACCACACACACACACCACACACACACACACACACACACACACACACACACACACACACACACACACACACACACACACACACACACACACACACACACACACACACACACACACACACACACACACACACACACACACACACACACACACACTCCCCAAATATGTAACTGTATATTTCAGCCTTCTCTGCCAGCTCTTCAATAAACCGTTATTTTATTTTACACACACACTCATAACCTCAATATCTGTAAGACCTTCATTAACTCACAAGGTCAGTGTGAGCTGAACAAGACACTGTGTCATATGTTTGTGTCAATTGTCATATGTCAACTGTTTGTTTGTGTCAAGATTAGATTACATATGGTTAGATTAGGTTAGGTTAGGTTAGGTTAGATTAGGTTAGGTTAGATTAGGTTAGGTTAGGTTAGGTTAAAAATTGGGTGTCTATTCTTCAGGTGATTCGTAAGACTTTTGCTATGATGCCGAGAGAGATATGGGGCAATTCCCCCTAGCAGAGGAGGAGGAAGAGGAAGAGGAAGAGGAAGGAGGAGGAGGAAGAAGGGGAGGGAGGGAGGGAGGAGGAGGAGGCGCTGTACAGTAGTTGTTTACGTTTGATGTCGAGGGGAATTCCTTCATTTTGTGGTGGAAGTAATGAAGGAAGGAAGGAAGGAAGGAAGGAAGGAAGGAAGGAAGGAAGGTTGGGTGGAAGGAAGGAAGGAAGAGGAAAAGGAAGGAAGGAAGGAAGGAAGAAGGAAGGAAGGAAGGTTGGGTGGAAGGAAAGGTTGGGTGGAAGGAAGGAAGGATAGATGGGTGGAAGGGAAGGAAGGATAGATGGGTGGAAGGATGGAGAAAAAAGAAAAAAAGAAGGAAAAAAAAAGAAAGAAAGGAAGAGGATCAAGGAAAGAAAAGACGACAGGACAGGCAAGAAGTAGGACAGAAAAAAGAAAGAAAAGTTGGGCGGAAAGACAGACGGAAAGGACAGGACAAACAGCTTAGTCACACACACACACACACATACACATACACACACACACACACACACACACACACACTCCTAATATCACGCCATGTACGTAAAACAATTTTGAACTCCGGTTTAATTGGCAAGTTTTAAATTTAATGAGAAAAAAAATCATTAAAAAT